TCTTAAAAACTGAGAACAAACTGAGGGTTGATGGGGGGTGGGAGGGAGGGGAGGGTGGGTGGTGGGTATTGAGGAGGGCACCTTTTGGGATGAGCACTGGGTGTTGTATGGAAACCAATTTGACAATAAGCTTCATATATTGAAAAAAAAATATCTAGTCTTATAATTTATTGTCAACTCTTATTTCTATAAATTATGGATTATAACATTTCTTCATTGCCTCCTGCCAGCCTACCACAAGGTAGAAAGATACTAAAGATAAATTAAAATCAGAAATTGCTTATTACCTTGTTAGCTTATTTAATGAAATGTTGGTTAGGGGAAAATACAGAAGAAGATATGTTTATAGGGAAGTGTGTGTATATTTTAATAAATTATGCAATTTAGTTTCCCATGTTGTTCCTATACTCCCATCTTGTCTAACAGTACTATTGTTATAAATATATAAAAGTAAGACTGGAGCACTTTCTTTTGAGATGGTCATTATCCAATACTGAAGATTAAGCCACAATATGCTATTGACTCTATCAAACATAAAAAGAATAGAAAATAGTGCTCTTTGGAAATATGATGTTATAAATCTGATTCTATCTAAAAATAGAAGGTTCTTATATTTAAATGTAACAATCCTTTGGTAAACTTTATCTTCCTGTCTTACAGGTTAACAAATAGAAATATTATACACAAACCTGCAGAGTGGACCTTAATTGCTGTGGTGTTGTTGTCATTGTAAGTACTATTTCAGATTTTAACTCTAAATAGTAAATAGAATTTTGATTGGGGAAAAACAAAGTTGTTCATTGATTTTATAAGCATCATGAGAAAAGATACCTCTATTTTGTGCCTTATTTTCCTGTCCTATATGATAAAATAACTAGTGTAAAGTGATATGCCAGTATTTTCACAAGATTTAATTATTCTCTTTATATTTTTTACCATATTTTCTTCCAAAGGCCTTTATCTTTGCAAATATGATTTGTTATATTTTGAAAGAGGACAACTCCATGTGGAATATATATGGAATAGCCCTTTAATTTCATTTTTAACAATGCATTTTTATTAGCATTGAATGGGCCTCGTTTTATAACTGTAATTTTACCAACACATCTAATGTTGTTTCATTTGTCTCAGCATTAATCGCTTTGGGAAAGTTTTATTTTCCAAACTAATGTACATCTTTAAAATCAAACAGATTAAAGGAACTAAAGTAGATAGTACAGAAGCATATATAAAACATTTAATACTCATTCACCTTTTAAGAAATCACTGGTGGTTTCTAAAGCTGTCTCTCGGTAGGGTTAAAACCTTCTAGTAAGTGTAGTGTTTTTCAGCTTGAATTGCAAGTCTTCTTTTGAGGACCATTCATTACTGCATTACTGTTGCTACTTGGAGCTTGTTAAGTCATTGAAGCCCATAGGACAGTGAATACTTTACTGGACACTCATAGGTCAAGAAGTGTTATGAGCCAACCTCATAGCATCTCCAGCCCTGCTCTCTCTTTCTTGATATTTCTTCAGTCTGACATGTTACTCTGGCTTCACTGTCCCAAGGAAGGCTGTGCTGGGAGGCATTAGAGTAGGCTTCAGTGAGCCAACATCTGTGTCACCCAACCAAATACAACTCACAGGATTCATTAAATCAGAACACAGAAAATAACTTTACTTGAATGCCTTGATAATAAATTTTTTATCAGCCGTAAGAACAAATCTTTTGTCATTTCTACTATTCAGGGTCCCAGTTGAATTGGTTATTTGTGAAACAGATCTTATTAATATTTTAGAAAGTTCTTTCCATTTTATGAAATTTGTAAATATTTTGGTCACTGGCAAAAAAAAAAAATATCAGTAACTCTGCTCACCCACCATATCCTATGCCTGCCAATAAACCCTCATAGATAACTGTTTAACTGTACTTCTGCAATTCATTATACTAAAGAGGAAGTAACTTTTTTGGTTGACAAGTCACAGGCCTGGGCCAAGCAGTAATCTCAGAATCTTGCTTTCTAAGCCAGTAACTGGAAGTATTATCTTAATGAGCAGCTGCTTACTGAAGACACACGTTATTAGGTCCTACTTTTTTTTTTTTTTTTTTTTTTTGTATCAAACTCTTGACACATATTGTCCAAAATGTATAGCAATGAACAAAAAAAGTATATAAAATGAAATAATAAAGACTGCTGTTAAAATTTCAAATTATTCCCTACAAAAATAAACCTCTAGTGTTTGATTTCAATGTGGCACAAAATATTGAAAGCTTTGCTAGTTGTTTTATGCACTGACTTCCCTAACTTTGGATCTAGTATAGGGAACCTCTTATTTCAAGGGTCAATGACCCATAAAAATAGTAACTTAATTGAATTCAAGAAACAGACTGCACATCGTAGTTGCATTATATGTTGCACGTTACACAATCAGTCTTGGGATAGCAGTAAACCCTGTTTCCTTTTCTCATTCACCTTAAATTCTTACCTTTCATTATGTGTTAACCACTATCTAGATCTACCTGTCTTTCTCCTAATTCTTTGTCCTTTTGATACCTGGACCTGTAAAATCCTGCCCAGTTAGGGCTCTTTCAGCTTCTTTTAAAATCCTTGGTCACTGTAGACGCCAAGTCAGCTGCTTCTTTCTTGGGTTTTGCCCTTCAAATATTATTTTCTCATAATTCTAACTTTTGCCATTGCCCCTTCTTGCAGGCTATTTCTGATCCCTTCCATTTTGCTTTTGCACCTTCTTTATCTTCACTAGCTGAGTCTCCTTATTTTTTGCTCATCAGCTCTAAGACTTTTGTCTCCTGTCCCAGTATTATTTTATTTATTTCCTCTTTTCTAAGGAAGTCCCCTTTAGCTATTCATATTTCTTCCCCCAGGAGAATCTCTGGCTCAATTTATAGCCCCTTTCGTTCTTAGCCTATTAAAATACTACTCCCATTTACTTCTATAAAGTATAATTATACTTTAGATTTGTACCTCTCTTTCTGCCCACTTAACAGTTCACAATTTTGGGAAAGGCATTTTGTCATTGGGGGAAGAAAAAGCAGGCTTGAGGACCAGCATTGGATAAAGAACCTTAAACACAGTGAAAAATTTGGAGACTTTAGTACCCAAAGAGACATGCACATAAACAGGTAAAGGAAGTAACATACTCACACATCTGTGGACCAGTAACCCCACCACTCAGCCTTTTAATTTATTGTTGCTAAAACTGATAATAGCATACATGGGATTATCTTTTTTTTTTTTTAATTATTCTATGACTTAGAAAACCTTTGCATCTATTCTCAAATTTCCAATGAAACTTGTTTAGCCGTTGCTTGCAGATATTTCTGGAATTCATGTTAAAAGTGAACTCCTTACAAATCCTTATAGCTAGGAAAAAGATTCTGAATGGCAGTTGTAGTCACTGAAGATGAATGTAATAAGATAGTATGTTAATTATTATAACAATAGTTCTATTCTTTGTATACTAACATTGCAAGGTTTTGTTACTAATAGCACTTGTTTAATGAATGAAAGCTGTTTCAAAATTTTTCTTGAAAACCACTTTAAAAAGTATACATTTTATTAGTATGTTGCTGTGCTGGCTCCAGTCTAACTCTTGCAGAGGGGGAAAAATCAATATTTTAGGCAAAACATGATAGTCCAGAAGAAAGAAAGAAGGCTGGTTCTTCAATTTTTACATCTGTATGCTTAAAAGTAAATGAGGTGTTTTTGTGTCAAATCATATTTTCCTGGTAACTTCCCTTGCACTTTCACAGGTGTATTAACATTTTAAAAATTTGAGGGGCACCTGGGTGACTCAGTTGGCTAAGCGTCCAACTCTTGATTTCAGCTCAAGTCAATGTTTAGTGAGTTCGAGCCACACATCGGGCTCTTGCTGACACCTTGGTGCCTGCTTGGGATTCTCTCATAACAAATAAACTTAAAAAAAATTGGAACCACAACATGCAATTTGTCAGTGTATACTGATGGGAATTTTATACCAATATAATCTCAGGAAGAAATTGATCAAATTGAGATGTACACTTCATCTTTGCACACTTAGTGAAATACACCTATCTATAAAAATAAATCATGACCTATTGCCATTTCATTTAGATTTTTCACAAATTCCATACGACTTGAATAGCCACTGTGACTGCAACATTTATGGATATATATATTTTGTACTCAGACCTTAAGTAGTTACCAAGAGCACACAGAAAGACTTTTTAAATCAGAGCTTAAACAGTATACACTTACTTAACAGTGAAGAAATTAATTTCCCTTTAGTCCTTTCTTATTTCTTTAATAAATGTTATAATTAACAAAGATTCTCAAGAACTCCTTACATAAAACATCTGTAATACTGAAAATTGACCCAGTTCTTTTTTTGTTGTTGTTTGTTTTTAATAACTCATTAGAAATATGGTAAAGTAACCTGGTAATTGGTGTTATGCTTAAGCACTTACAGTAATTTTTTATCTTAGCTGAACTTTATCAGACTTTACTCATATACTGTATATTGAAACAATACAAAGTTGAATCTGCTTTTGCCACAAAAATAATGCTCTAATATTAGACTTTTTCCACAGTCTCAGTGCATGATTTTTCATAAAGATGTGTATAAATAGATAGATAGTCTGCTATAAATATTTTAGTGCCTATATACAGAGTAAAGCTAATGAATTTATATAATTTTGATGTGTTTGCCAAATTAGCAAGCATAAAAATTAATGACATTAAAGTGCATTTTGTGATGCCTCCTCATAATGATATCATATTTGTTTTTATATTCCTCATAATTCTCATCCTACTCTTAATACAGGAAAAAAACAGAAACTGTAGGATCGCTTTGCATCATGGTCTCAGTACTCAGGATATTCTCCTTGAGAATATTTTGACTGGTATTTTGTGAGAAGATTTTATAGCCATAGGACACCCCCATCAGCTTGATCCCTTCTCTCCTTTTTCTCTTCGTCTTCCCAAGTCATCTTTGACTTCTCATTATACTTCAGCCTGTAACACAAGAGGGGACTGTGCAAATGTTGACTTAAAGCTGACAAATAGAGAGAAAGGTCCAGACTAGCAGCCAAAGAGAAGCCAGATAGAAGTCTATGGAGAAGCAAATTAACTGGCCTGACTTACTTTATGTACAGCCCACATGTGAGAAATGAGAATCAGTTTCCTCAGTGTCCTTTTGTACTTAAAATACTACTTTTCCACCCAAGTTAACCTTTGTAAGTAGCCACTACTTTGTATTATGATAATCTGAGGTTAATTGTAGCATAGGAGTCAGGTGTCTTTTAGTGCGTAGCCAGTTAGGGGGTATATGTTATGGTCCATGGGAATGATTTGGTTATCTAATGAAGGAGATGAATACTTTTTATTACCTAGAAAGAAGAGAAGGTAGAGAGTGACTTCTGGTAATCTAACATGGATATATGCTCTTCCTAGTTTTATGCCCTTGATGTTCTCTAATGGAAAGCTTTCAAGATCATCTCCAAAAATGTCTGCTTTCATTTTATTTATCTGAACTGTCTGTTTCCAGTGAACTATGGCCCACTTCCTAGGCAGAGACCATGCAATAGTATATTCCTCCTAAAAGCTTTCAGTATTCCTATCGTTAAGGGAGTAGCATGTAAGTCCTGAGAAATGGTATTTAAACAAGCTCAACTTGACCATGATCACTAAACAAAAGCCTTCGCTGGATATGGGCAGCCACTTTAGGTAATCATCATACACATAGACACTC